TTTTTATTTTAAAATTTTTTTTTTTTTTTTTTTTTTTTTTTTTTTTTTTTGGGGGGGGGTGGGGTTGGGGTTTAAGGGTGCGGGGATGCTTCAGATGCTGCCCTCAATTGGCCTAAAACAGAAAAAGTCAGTGGACAATATAGAAAGAGACTATCCGACAATCCCATGCCCTAATCACATATGAACACAAATTAGTGGAAACAAGAAAAGTGAAACTCAAGATTTTTGGGTGAAGCATGCTTTGAATATATCGTAATCAATGCCTGGGTTAAANAGAAAAAGTCAGTGGACAATATAGAAAGAGATTATCCGACAATCCCATGCCCTAATCACATATGAACACAAATTAGTGGAAACAAGAAAAGTGAAAATCAAGATTTTTGGGTGAAGCATGCTTTGAATATATCGTAATCAATGCCTGGGTTAAATTTTTAGGTCATTATTTGGTACAGGGGGAACATGATTAGGATGTCAAGCACTTGAATCTAAGGATAGCCTATTTGTGAATAAATGTGCCAAAGATTAGATGTTTCTCGTCTACTTTTCCTAGTACCCAATATAAGTGGGACTATAAATTTGAATTCAAGTCAATAGATGCTGTACATGAACCATAATTCATCAATCTTAATTAGAGTTGAGTTACAATAGTTGAGTTTATTCATCATAGTCTAGAATCATCTTAGANCTTCTCATCTACTTTTCCTAGTACCCAAAATAAGTGGGACTATAAATTTGAATTCAAGTCAATAGATGCTGTACATGAACCATAATTCATCAATCTTAATTAGAGTTGAGTTACAATAGTTGAGTTTATTCATCATAGTCTAGAATCATCTTAGAGTCACANTTTCTCGTCTACTTTTCCTAGTACCCAATATAAGTGGGACTATAAATTTGAATTCAAGTCAATAGATGCTGTACATGAACCATAATTCATCAATCTTAATTAGAGTTGAGTTACAATAGTTGAGTTTATTCATCATAGTCTAGAATCATCTTAGAGTCACAGTCGCAAATTTTAGGTTTTGAGACTTCATCCTGGTTGAATTTGGTGGAAACCATTAGGTTATAAAGGTCTATGTAGTATTCTACTTAGAAAGAATATAGTTTTGTGAGAAATTGATATTTGTGATCTTGCAAACCCTTTCAGGAGTGAAGTATTCTTCTTTGCCGTCTTTCTTCACTAAAGTTACTATCCGCAGTCTAAANGTATAGTTTTGTGAGAAATTGATATTTGTGATCTTGCAAACCCTTTCATTAGTGAAGTATTCTTCTTTGCCGTCTTTCTTCACTAAAGTTACTATCCGCAGTCTAAATCGGACACCAATTTATTCCTAAACTCTACCCTAACATTACCACTCTCTTGGGCTATTAAATCTACCTAGAAACCTCAAAATTACTACCATACAGAATTTTCTGCAAATTATTCAGTCAGAAACTTCCCTAATAAATCCCATTCCAGCTCTTATCCATCTCCAAACCTTATTAATCTTTCATTCACATCACAAAATCTAAATCTAAAAGCTTTGCGTAGCAAAAACTTGCCACAAATTCAATTGTAGGGTGTCAGAATCATGAGTTTTCTACAGCTCTCCTACAACAAATATTAGGGAGAAGCACAGTCCTACTCGATATATGACCCAACCTCAATCACTTGTCTTCAAACAGTAGCAGTGTTATTTAAGGCGTAAAACGAATCGAAGCGAACCGGTCTCCTAAGGGCCTAGGCGAGAAGCGAAGCGAGCGCTTCGTTGAAGCAAAGCGAACAATATAAAAAAATAAGTAAATATTTTAGTTTCATACTTTGGTTACTCCTAAATATTTAAGTTTTAACTTTACAAATATAAAATATTTAAATGCAATCAAAATAATAAATATCAACATATTTTAAATAGACAAAATATTAAATATTGAACATTATTGTATTCTAAAAATAATCAATTGCAATAATCACGTCATCTAAATGTAAAATTAACAAATGTGGGTTCGACTTCTACCGTGATTGATTAATATCACCACTAAACATAGCACTCACAAATTGATTAATTAAATTAATAGAGCATATAGCAAATTGATTAATCAATTTGATTAACCAAGCAAATTGATTAATAAGAGCATTCACATCAAAACAAAGCATTCAACATTATCTAATCATAATAAGACAAATTGTCATATGATATTGTTACACTAATTAATCAATTTATTTTATACATATACACATATAACATCATCTCTGCTAAAGTTTGGTTAATGTTAAAGAAGGAGGAGGANTTACACGAATTAATCAATTTATTTTATATATATACACATATAACATCATCTCTGCTAAAGTTTGGTTAATGTTAAAGAAGGAGGAGGAAGAGGAGGAAAATATAAAAGAATTGCAGTTAGGTGTTCGCTTTTCTCTTCTGGCTCATTTATTCGCTTCGTCGCCTGAGCTCGCTTTTTCCTCGCTTCGCCTTGCATGTTCAGGGCGATCAAGGCTCGCTTCTCGCCCAGGCTCGCTTTTCACAATACTGAACAGTAGTACAAAAATGTGTGGCACTCATTAGAACCAAGGATTCCAATCCTTTCCGGCTGGGAAATATATACTTCATTCCCTCTCTCAAATCCACTACATTTGAAACCAAAAAAAAAAAAAAGGAAAAATTTGTAGAAGGATTCCATTGTCAATGATTCTCCAAGTATTACAATGTTGGCTCTCTAGTTCAGTTTTATTCTGAAAAATTGGCAAGAAATCAATACCATTTTTCAGACTCTCAATAACAAACGGTACGTTGTGAACATAGTTATTAGTATCGTACAATACGCGATACGTATCGTACGATACGTCATAATACACCTGAAAAACGATACGTATCGTGCCTCTGTATCATTTTTGCACCGTATCATACGATACACAATATGATATATACGATACGCTCGATACGTACGATACATGATGATTCTATTTTTTTTTTTTTTTTTTTTTTGGGGTTAAAATGACATTGTTTTATCCAATAACTTATTTTTAAATCACTAGCTAGTGAAATAATGTCATTTCAATGGTTATAATTTAAAAAAAATAAATAAAATATGTTGTTAATGTTGTTCAATTGNAGTAGCAAAACTTGCCACAAATTCAATTGTAGGGTGTCAGAATCATGAGTTTTCTACAGCTCTCCTACAACAAATATTAGGGAGAAGCACAATCCTACTCGATATATGACCCAACCTCAATCACTTGTCTTCAAACAGTAGCAGTGTTATTTAAGGCGTAAAGCGAATCGAAGCGAACCGGTCTCCTAAGGGCCTAGGCGAGAAGCAAAGCGAGCGCTTCATTGAAGCAAAGCGAACAATATAAAAAATAAGTAAATATTTTAGTTTCATACTTTGGTTACTCCTAAATATTTAAGTTTTAACTTTACAAATATAAAATATTTAAATGCAATCAAAATAATAAATATCAACATATTTTAAATAGACAAAATATTAAATATTGAACATTATTGTATTCTAAAAATAATCAATTGCAATAATCACGTCATCTAAATGTAAAATTAACAAATGTGGGTTCGACTTCTACCGTGATTGATTAATATCACCACTAAACATAGCACTCACAAATTGATTAATTAAATTAATAGAGCATATAGCAAATTGATTAATAAGAGCATTCACATCAAAACAAAGCATTCAACATTATCTAATCATAATAAGACAAATTGTCATATGATATTGTTACACTAATTAATCAATTTATTTTATACATATACACATATAACATCATCTCTGCTAAAGTTTGGTTAATGTTAAAGAAGGAGGAGGAAGAGGAGAAGGAGGAGGGGGAAGAGGAGGAAAATATAAAAGAATTGCAGTTAGGTGTTCGCTTTTCTCTTCTGGCTCATTTATTCGCTTCGTCGCCTAAGCTCGCTTTTTCCTCGCTTCGCCTTGCATGTTCAGGGCGATCAAGGCTCGCTTCTCACCCAGGCTCGCTTTTCACAACACTGAACAGTAGTACAAAAATGTGTGGCACTCATTGGAAGCAAGGATTCCAATCCTTTTCGGTTGGGAAATATATACTTCATTCCCTCTCTCAAATCCACTACATTTGAAACCAAAAAAAAAAAAAGGAAAAATTTGCAGAAGGATTCCATTGTCAATGATTCTCCAAGTATTACAATGTTGGCTCTCTAGTTCAGTTTTATTTTGAAAAATTGGCAAGAAATCAATACCATTTTTCAGACTCTCAATAACAAACGGTACGTTGTGAACATAGTTATTAGTATCGTACGATACGTCATAATACACCTGAAAAACGATACGTATCGTGCCTCTGTATCATTTTTGCACCGTATCGTACGATACACGATATGATATATACGATACACTCGATACTTACGATACATGATGATTCTATTTTTTTATTTT